CGACGCTTGGCGGGTCGCCGCGGTGCCCGCGCATCCACCGCTCCCACAGCCGGTCGTCCGTCGCGAGGGCACCGTACGGCAGGTGTCTCTTGTTGCTGTCCTTACGGTACATGCGCCGCTGCTCCTCGCGGCCCTTCTGGAACTGCCACGTCACGGTGAACTTGTTGCCGAAGCGGTCCTTCGCGATGAGGCGCTCCTGCGTGAAGACGTAGCGCAGGTAGTTCCAGTACAGCAGCTCCCACCAGGTGATGATGCGGTTGTCGGCGAGGCCGGAGAAGGAGTGCTGCAGCTTGACGCTCTTGTCGCCAAACGCGTCGACGGAGCGGAAGTACGGCGATTTGGCCTTCGCGAGCTGCTGCCGCGCCGCCTCTGCAGCGTCGGGCCCCGACTTCTCCGCCACCTCTCGCACGTACGNGCCTTCGCGAGCTGCTGCCGCGCCGCCTCTGCAGCGTCGGGCCCCGACTTCTCCGCCACCTCTCGCACGTACGCCTCGAGCTTTTCCTCCTCCTGCTGCTGCCGCTGCTCCGCCTCCAGCTGCCGCTTCGCCTTCTGCGCCAGCACCTCCTTCTCCTTGACGGCCCACGCAACCGCATCCTCCTGCCTGCGCCGCACGTACACGAGCTTAGAGGTGATGTCGTCCGACTCGTCCGCCATGCCTTTTATGCTGGACAATATGCTCGCGTTCGTGAGGCGGTAGCGTCTCCCGCACCACAGCGCCGACGGGGCGAGCAGCGGTGGAGGGCAATGCAGGCGCACCATCTTGGCGTTTTATTCCTTCCGCCTGAACGCTTGCTCCTGCGGTCTCCCCCCTTCCCCTCCTTCCACCTCAATCAATGCGTGTGCGTATGTATGTGTGTGAATGGGAAGGAGAACGCGGCAGCCGAGTGGTGCCTCCTCCTCCTCCTCCTCCTCCTGCTTCGCCGGCTCGGTTGCGTGAAAGGGAAAGGAGGCGGCTCCTGCAGCAGAAGCAACCAAAGGAAAAAAAAATAGAGTGAGAGAGAGAAAGAGAGAGCGAACAGGTGTGGCGCACACGCAGTGTGTTGCTGCAGCATAAGTTTCTCATCCAGACGCACACGCCCACTCACAAATGAGAATTGGGCAGCACTTCACCGTCTCCGAATTCTTTCCTCGGGTTCGTCTACACGCAGAGGCCTGAGAGTAACAGCAATGGCAACAGTAGCAACGGCATCACTCTATGAAGACTCCCTCTCTCTCTCTCGATCTCTCTCTCTCTATATATATATACTATATGTGTATATAGAGGCCCCAGTGAGGCCGCGCAGAAGAGGATCGTCACGCCCACAGGAGAGGGGGGGAAAAGAGAAGGCAGCCTTCTCTTCTCACGCGCCGCCCCTCCCATCTACGGCTCCTCTCTGCCGGCGATCTTTGTCTTGGCAACGATGTCCGCCAACTTCTTCAGCGCGTCCGACCGCAGGTTGGAGTTGTGGGGTGCCCTCCCTCGGCTCGTGGCGGAGCCGTGCTGCTGCT